TTTAGTTTTTTTTTTTATTTGTTTTCTGAAAAAAGTCAATGTATCGACCAGCTTGAAGTGGATTTGTACCAAAAAACATATGTATAGTTGCGGTAAAAGTACAACTAAGCCTTCTAATAATCAGCATATTCGCTTTTAAGACAAGCTTATTGCTTTTCATATGCTTCATCAACATGATCACTTATCTCAATGTTTTTTCTCCGATCAAATTTTTAATGATTGATTTACTTCGGTGTTACATGTTGTTCCTAGAAAGCTGATTTGGACTAGTATTTCTGTTTTCTTCACCTTTCCGACTCTAGAACAGCAAAAAAAAGTAGTATCCTTTGGGCAGTTAAAACTGTTGATAAAAAATAGAATATTTAAATATGCTCACAAGGATAAACTATGTTTCATTTTTCTATTGTTTCAGATATTGGCAATGCGTCATTCCAGAAGGCATGTATTATCAGGTTGCCTTGGAGCTTTGATAGTAAGATAACAATCTTTGTTGCATTAATAGTTTACACTTTTGCTTTATTTCTATATCAAGCCTTTAAATGGCTGCAAATACCTTTTGATTTTAGGTCATGACCATATTGTCAGCTGTTGTGGGCTGGGCTGCTCCGAATCTGGTCAGTAAATGATAGTTTCTGTTATGACCTTCGTGAGGGGTTATTATTACTATTCGAAATAAACTATGCAGAAATTGATTCCGAATTTGCAGCCACGCTCTTTATAGTTTGTCTCGAGTCAACCTTTGCCATTGTTTTCATTTTGTCTTACAGACATGTTGGAATTTTTTTGTTATTTCCTATTACTATAATTTTTTTGGTTTATTTTTTGAAATTAATTTTTATGCGGGCAGATATCTCGGAAGTTGACTCATCACGTCACGACATTTTTGTTTCTGGGATTTGGCCTGTGGTCTCTATGGGATGCATATAATGATGGGTACACTTCAGTTTACAGAAAACTCATGTTTAAACCTCCTCCTTGTATTAAGTGTGTTTGAATATTCGTTCATTCCACTGGCAGGGATGGTGAAGAATTTGCTGAAGTTGAAAAGGAACTGGTTAGCGTCTTCTGTCTTTTTGCTACTTATCTTTAATATAGTTAGAATTTTAACGTTTACACTGTCCTATATGGCTAGGATGCGGATACAAAATCCAACGGTGAGAAAACCCGAGAAAATAGCAAGGTAAGGCTTACTGTACATTTTTATTATGTCATGATTTTCAATGGAATGATTGTAATCTTTGCAATTTATGGCGTTTAGCAAGCAAACATTTATTTGTGCAATAAACCACATTTTTATGTTATGCTGGTCCAGGATGAAGATGAACTGAAAAAGCAGAGGCGACCTTTTCTTACCCAATTCTTTTCTCCTATCTTTCTGAAGGTCCTTAGCTCATTTTCTTCTATCAAGAAATTACGGCAATACTCTCTCCTCAGCAAATAAAAATAAAAAGAAAAAGAAAACTACTGCTTGATTATTTACTGTTAGTCTATATTTTTTCCATTTCTTCAGGCATTTTCCATTACTTTCTTTGGTGAATGGGGTGATAAGAGTCAGGTAAACATGTATTTTGGACATTCCATATTTTGCAGTTACTTTGACATTGGGTTTTTTCTTTTGCATTTAACAACTGGTAAGTTCAAATTTGCAGCTTGCTACAATAGGTTTAGCTGCAGATGAGAATCCTTTGGGTGTTGTTCTTGGTGGAATCCTGTATGTCCTTATTTAGTAGCTTTTATTTCGTCCCATCTCTTAATATGTTTTCCATTACTGTATGGGCTATTACGATGGAAGTATCGTTTCAGATTTTCTCTGTACGCAATATTTTTCTTGGTTATTATTAGAAATTTCTGACATATTGTTATTTCGTGTTTGACTTGTTACTCATAATATTAGGGGACAAGCTTTGTGTACAACAGCTGCTGTCGTGGGAGGAAAGAGCCTTGCAACTCAAATATCAGAAAAAATAGTGAGTTTTTTGGACTTAAAACTGTAAACCATTTTTCGACAAGAAATAAAGAGAAACAGAAAAAAGATCTTGTTGATGTTAACATAAATATATTTATATGGATGCAGGTTGCAATCTCTGGTGGATTACTTTTCATTGTTTTTGGGATTCAGTCATTTCTTTCAAAAGTCGAGTCGTGATGACTCAAATTTACCAAGGCCCTGAGGGTCAGCACAAACTATTTATTCTGTACAATGTCCTCCATTAAAATGTCAAGGATGGAGAACATATATTTACCTGCTGAAGGTATTATGACAAACTTCTCTGGCAAGCTTTCACTCTTGAGCAGAAAATGAATGACCTAGGTATCCTAGAGAATATACATCTTGGTTTACGAGTTGTCTTAAGTCGACTAGGTGGCAAAACAATCATGATAAAATTATACTCGTGACGTAGGAAGCTGGTTATTGTCTCTTACGACAGTTTCTATCAGTCAGTTTCTCTTTAATTGCTCTCTCTCTTTCTCTCTCTCTCTCTCTCTCTCTCTCTCTCTCTCTCTCTCTCTCTCTCTCTCTCTCTGTGTGTGTGTGTGTGTCTCAAGGGTTTTTGCATATCAAAATACAGAGTTGATGCGACTTGCACAAGTTGATTGCAGTACAAATATGGATCATAAAACATTAGATGACAAAGAGAATGGAGTCTGCACCTTGGAATTGGATATTGTTTATAATGTTGCAACAAAATGATCCAAGATCAATATATTTTAAAGGCAAAGTAAAAAGATTTTACAAATTGGCATATTCTTATCCCTTAGAATAATTTTATCTGTAACTTCAATCTATTTGATTCTGAAGCCTAAAGTCAATCGATCCACGTAAAAGAAGTTAGTTAATTTAAAACTTAAAAGAGTACACTCAGAAGTGTCAAAGGACACTTACAAAGATGACCAAGGAGTACAAACACCCGCAAAACAAAAAGCTCCGTAAATGAGATACAAACTCCATAGAGAAGATTGATAACCAGACGAAGCTAGACTACCAAGATAAAGGAAACAGAAACAACACACACCAAATAAAAAACGAGAATAAGACCTCTCATAAACCTAACAAGCAAAGCATACAGCCACCCAAACCAGCGCACGAGCCAAACTCATTTTTAACCAACCAATTTATATGCTCTCAAGGGAATTTAGGATATGTTTGTATTATCAACATGCAATGGGTGGACAAAGTTGTCTCAGCATAAGGGACATAGTGCAATGCTAATATTTACAACAGAGAGATGATAGATGTATCCGACGCATCTTTACTCTTTCCTAGTATAAAAGGTATAACACAGGAGATAATAGTACAAGTGTGACACAAATCTAAATTAGTACAACACATGGCATAGAATAAGTCTAAATTATGGGTTAAACCAACCAACCAACCAACCAACCAACATGGATAAGTCTGTGATAAAATTACAAAGAATGGGAAACAGAAGGCTTCGCCAAATAAGGCAAACCCAGGAAGCAGGAAATAGATAGATAGTAGATGATGATCAATTGATGAAATTTCCTGCAGACGAGACCTGGCCTCCTTGTCCCAACAACTGAGGCCGTCCGGCAGCTTGCATGTAAGACTGAGGATTCATCTGAGGAGGGATCTGCTGTTGCTGTTGCATCTGAGGAATCTGCTGAGGTGGTTGTTGCATAAGGGAGTGTTGTTGTTGACCCATTTGTTGTGGTTGTTGTTGTTGCCCCATTTGTTGTTGCTGCTGCTGCTGCTGCAGGTGTTGTAGGTGTTGCTGCTGTTGAGCTTGCATTTGTTGACTCGGTATTTGGGGCTTGAAAACCACCATATCCTTGCAAAAAACCACCAACATTTTTCACTCGTACAGATTTTACTAACATCCAATCGCTCCACGCAAAACTATTTGTGAAATCTTTTATAGGAAATTCAAGACTTAATACCTCAGTACAAAAAAAAAAAAAAAAAAAAAAAAAAAAAAAAAATTAGAAATAACGATGATCACATTACACTTCAGAATGCACGAGGAATACACCAATTTCTAAACTTGAATAGATATTTTATTTGTATCTCAATGTATTTTATGTTTCAGCTCGTGCATTGTAATTTATAACTGGACTAGAACTAGAACTAATGGTTCCAACTAGAGCTAGAACCGGAACCATAACCATCGGTCAGTAAACCGGCTACGAACCGCACCACCAAAAGGTTTCAGTTCCAGATTTTGGCGAACCATAACCCCTAACATGTCTAGGGACTGCCTTCCTCGGTAGTGCCTAGTCCAACTTGGAGGCCCCTATAGCACTCAGATTTCGTACAATGGGTTTTTTTGGGTTTAATCAAGTCAGCTTCCGAGGGCTACTGTCTAGTCTGATTTTTACAACACTATAACAAACAGTTTAGGTTTTAGCCTAATTACAGAAACACTAGTTATAGTCCAACAGAATACTCATCTAACAAATACCCTCATTTGACCGTGAACTCTAAATAAACAAGTATTCATAATTTTGAAAGTTAAATAGGTCCATTTGACATTGGGCATAATAAACCTTGGAGGTGGTTTCAAAATTTAGACAGTGCACTCGATGACCATGCAATTGTGAGAGTTTGAAATGTTATAAAATGTAATATAAGTTAGAAAGTCTACAATGATAAAGCTTATAGTGCCTTACCCCAGGAAACAGCATCCCAATCAGACGGTAAGCTTTGTCGGAAACCGAAAGTAGCAATGTCTGCGATGGTAACTGTATTACTGCACACTGAGAAACACATGCAATTCAGAATATGAGAATCACATTCAAAATGATCACAACCCAATAAGTCACATTAAACCCAATTTCAACAGGACACAAAAAGGATCGAGGTTAATTTTAAATTTAACGACTTACAAGCTTTTTCTCTTGCAGCTGCCCAAGAAAGCCATGCTGATCCATGGCACGGAAAACTAGGAAATCAGCCTTCCCAACATATTGCCTGGCATAGTTTACAGAGAATTCTAAATTATATATATTTTTCTTAACCGAAAAATCAGCAAATCTTATATTGAATGCATGCGATGAACTCATGAAAGAATTTCATCTTAAGATCATATTACTTGTTATTCATGTGGTCCTGGGATATCAGGCGTACTATCTGCATTGTCGGGGGCCAATTTGCAGCAAGCCTGAAAGATTCCAAGAAAAAAAAATGTGAAAAAGCTAGATAATCAGGTTATGCTATGTCCTCTAAAGTAAGAAAAACTAAAACATGCTAAAGAATATGGAAAATCCAAAGAGACAAAGTATATTATCGGAAGAAGTAGTCTCACGTCTCAGAAGCTGTTGCACTCCTGTATCCCTGGCACCAGAAATATAGAATAAGCATAGGAATGTTTAGAATGAGAAAGAAGCCATTAGAATAAATAGCATACACATAATAAAGGGGTTAGCCATAATTACTCCTGCTAAAAATGCTTAAAATAATTATCAAGGAATTCAAATCCTTTTAGTGCATGAGAAAGCTACCTCCAGTCTGGTAATAAAAACAGGTTGACCTTGTCGCTGTCCAGATAAATTTCCCTGTATCAAGTCACATAAGATTTAGAGTGACTTGTACACACATTCACGATAATTAATTAGTTTCAGTAGGAAACTTTTGGTGCTTATCATCTTTGTTCCGCAGAAAAAAGGGAAAAAAAAAGTCCAAATCATCTTACAAGGTGAGATATTTACAGAAAACATGATCATGTAAACAAATAATATTTAACAAAAAACTTGAAATTCTCCCACATCAAGCAATACTAAGTTGGATATTTAACAGGGGAAATTAAACAGCAGAATTAATTGTTAACAGCCCCTCCAGTTATCTTCCAAAGTTGGGCTTTCTATATGTCCAACAGATAGCCCTTCAACATTGAATTTATAAAACAAAAGTAAATGTCAAGGGCTTATGTGAAAAATTAGGAAGCCAAAGTGTCTTGGACTAACTAAACAGTGCAAATTTTGTAATTAACCCAATAGACAACAGTAACTCTGTAATTAACCAAATAGACAACCACAATTACCTCCCAAACTCTGACATATTTAGATTGTGCCGATGGCATAGCACCCGATGTCTGCTGGTTCAAGGGCATATTCGTCACAGAACTACTGCTATTCACACTCGCAGGCTGCATTCCTTGTTGTATTTGCTGGGACATTCCCTGACCAGGCATCATTATGCCAGCCCCAGAAGGCATACCCGACACACCACTTGCACTCGTCATGTTCTGATTATTCACACCCTGCCCCGTCTGCACCATCTGTGGGACCGTTAAATTACCTTGGCTCATGTTGAGACCCATTTGGCCGCCCATATTCCCGCCCACTTGTAAATTATTCGAAGGCTGCGAGACCCCAATGCTAGAATTTGTGGGGCCCGTTGTGGGTATAGGTAAGGGCCCAGAAACCGATGTGAGGCCCGAAGAAACTGAAGAAATTACAGTTTGTGCAGTTGGAGGTGGCACAGATGATACCATCCCGCTGGATATCACATTGGAGAGCATGGGTGTCCCGTTCATGGAAGGAATCCCAATGGAAGTTCCTCCAACAGCTAGACGAGCCTGGGCCACATCATTCAAGATCCTTACATTTGCTGCTGGATTGCCAGGTGGACGCACCAGCGATTTTGCATCTTGGGAGCTTTCGTTGTTTGAGGTAGCCTCTTGAGATGTTGATAACGGTGGAGAGGTTTGTAAGGCTAACATGGTTTGAGAAGCAGGTCGAGGAACAGATGAAATCTGAGGAAATCCGGGCCCGGTTGGAGGGGCTATAGTACTTGGTTCCTGAATGAATTTAGAAGATTAAATAATGGCACGAATAGGAAAATATGGTGCAATTCTGCAACTTCCCCATATACAACAGCAAAAATTGCACTTTCGGTCTCACAAGATTGAGATTTTGATGCTTTTGGTTTTCATAATCAACTTTGGTACCATTGGAAGATTTGTGGGCCTAACAATACAACAATTGATTTTACATATAACTAATATTTCGAACTATGGGATTAAGTGCTGCAGACTCAATCATGTGGGAGGAAAAGTGAGATCTATCCAAAAACTAACAAAGTCGAGCCTTACCACTTTTACAGTTGTAGGCGGAATGTTCTTTCCAACAGGTATTGGTTGTCTACCTAAGACGGATCCATTTGCTGAAGGAAACAAAGAAACAGCGTCACGTGCCAAAAGAAAATCTTATTAAGAACCTTATTATCTGCTCGTCACTTTAAATGCACATGAAAAAGTTTTGAATGTCATCTATCATGCAATTGTACATGCCCATTCTCTATACCAGTACCCACTCAAACAATAATAAATACCATAAAAAAAATGTACATTCACTGTTGCAGCAACTAGTAGAAAGAAAAAAAAAAAAAAGATAAATTATTGAGACAGATATTATTTCCCATTCCAACAGAAACTAACTCATGCTCCTCTGGCATATTCTGAATATAGGACTTCGAGAGAAAAAATGAGTACAAAACAAAGTTCAATATAAGCAAATTCACCTGAAGGTGGCCCAGGAATAGAAGGGGCAGGTGTCATGTCCATCTTGACCGGGTTTTGATTTGGGGGCAAATTTGTCATTCCCGACCTACCTAATGCAGCACGGGCTTCCATAAAATTCTCCGAGATAAGGACAAGGAAATGAGGGTTCTTCACATTATCTACAGGCAGATCTGCACCTCGTGGATGGCGCTTCCCCTGATTAGCATGGTGTCTAATATATCAGTAAAATTTAAAGCAAATCCAGGATCAAAACAAAAAAATCGTGCAATCAAATGACCAAGAGTGGGACAATTTCCATTTACTCCAGAGATTATTTGCTTCAACTCCAATAGAGGAAATTTCTTGGCAAATTACTCTGTTCCTAACATGCTTACTTGAGAAACAGGAATTTTGGACAGGAATACCCCTTAACTGTCACCTGATTACACTAATTCTCACCTGGTCATTTGATTTCACCAGACAATGGCAAGAGAATTATGAAGTTTATCCTTATTTAGGATTGAGTGAAAGTGAAAATACTAGGGTAGGGTCTTACAATTGCTATCATCTATCCAAGTTAATTACAGAGGAAGTAATTATGCATGGACAACATTAGAAAAGATTTACGATAAAAAAAGCTCTTTTTAGATAAGTAGAGAATGGTACCGCCTCGTAAATCGCTCTAAGTTTCGGAAGCTTCTTCGGACAGATAACAGACAGAGAAATAGCACTCTGCAAATCAAGAATCCTCCTTTTAACTGATGAGGCATATGAAAAAGGATTTGCAAAGATAATAGGCAAATCGAGAGAAGAGGTTTTACAAGTACCTGTGCAAATGATTTTGCTAATCCCTCTGCATCAGATAAATGATTATTATCCGACTGTATTTCGATACTATCGCTCGACTCAATATTTTGGGGTCGCAGCCGGAACAGAGCTGTCGGGAGTGGGTAAGGGTTGCTGGCAGCCACTAGAATACAGTGCCTTTGTCCGTCCACATTTTGGTTTTGACTCCCATTAGGGGAAGAGAACATCTATTGTGAAGCATATATAAAGTTAAGCAAATAGACAAAGCATATAAACAGGAGAAGGAAAAACAAAATGACATGTTCCACCATAACCTGCCACTTATTTTACAGTTAACCTGGAAAGGCTTTCGTCTTAGCTACAGAAACATCAAGTTATCTTTCAAAATTAGTATTATACACTTGATAATTGTATTTACCTAACAAGTTCCCCTCTTCTGAGTTTGGAAACATCAAGAATAATTCGTAATTATAGATTACCAGGATATTGTTTGTAATTAGGCTAAATTTCACAGGTGGAGTTCTGGTGGTTAACAATTTATTATGATGGAAAAGCTGAATATAAGACCACATACCGTCAGAGCTTCAGCAAGCCCTTCAGCAATTGCAGCATCATTGAAGCCACCACCTGCAAATGGTATAGCCGAAAGCCATTGAAAGAATATGTCCATGTCTTTAGTCCAACCACTTCTTTGCACAAGGCAGGCTGAATGAAAAAAAAAAAA